GAATAACCCTTAGTTACTAACTCTTCCTTGTGTTTTTGTATGGTACCAACAGGGTTTAACTTTGTCTTGAAGAGCCATTTAACTCCAATGATAACCCTTATTTACTCTATTGTCTTTATCTCTTCTTTCATTGCCTTGACCCATTTTTCTATTTTTGCGGCCTCTTCAAATATTACAAGCTCTAGTATGCAAATTCTAGTCCCTTACCAAAATATAAACATAAAACTCACCAAATTCATAAATTGAAAGTACTAAAGAATAAAACCGAACAAAATAAATACATTTTTAATCCTAATAAAAATTCAAGAAATAGAATAAAAAAAACACAAATACAAAGAAAAATATTATCCATAAATGAAGATAAAAAAAATTGATACACACAATTAACATAAGATTCAAGAAATGAAATTAGTCAAACCATGTAAAGAAGAATTCTAGAATAGAAGAAAGCAAAAAGACAAGGAATGAAATCACTATATGAGAAGCCACAAAAAGAAAAAGAAAAAGAAAAATAAATAGAAATCAAAATTAATTATAAGATAATAAATATAACTAATTATTCTCTTTTCTTAAACAAAATTATAATTTATTGAAAACAAAGTTTTATTAAATATCATTTTTAATACCAATAACAATTAACTGACACTAGTAATATTTTAATTAAATTTTACTCTCAAACATAAATTTATAATTAATTTATGGGTTAAATTTTTTTAATTCTTGAATTTTGACACAAAATTGGAATTTGTCTATTTCTAAAACTTTGTACATTTTAGTCTCCAAACTTTCAAAATGAATTGATATAGTCTTTTTAACTTAATTATATTAAACTTTTTTACATGTCTCAAATTCTCCATGCTAGTGTGAGTTGTTTACCCAATTTGATACATTCCCGTTTCAGTGTCAACTAGAAAAACGTTTCACAAGTCAAAAAAAGTTAACTTAATTGAACTAAAAGGACTATAATCATTCATTTTTAATTTTTGGAGGTCAAAATGTATAAAAGTTTAAAGCATAGACAAACTTAAATTTTACGTCAAAGGTCATACACTAAAAACATAAATAACATTAATTTAATAGAGATATATTAGTATTAAAAAAATATTTGTTTTAAACTTTTTTTTAAATATAATTTTAAAATTAATTTAATAAAAAAAAATACGTGGTTTACCATAGGTCATACATCCATAGTTTTGAATTTTCTGTTGATTCAACTCTTGATTAGTTTGGTGTGATATTATAAATGGTTTAACCTATTGGAATCCCAATATTCTTTTGATCAGGAAAAATAGTCTGAATTGATTAAAGTGGTGAACCTTACATGATCTTATGGCCTAGGACTTAAACCATTTATTATGTCTCAATTTAGAAATATATTATTACCCAATCCTAAGCTCAGAATAACTTTATCCTTTAATGCCATTCAATAATCATCTTCCACTCCCCAAAGACGTGGAAATCTGGTTTAAGCAATCAAAAGCTAAATTGATGCCACTTTCAACACAAAGAACGGATGGTGCTGAGTTTATGAAGTTTTCAGTCTCTTCTGAAGACGAACTAACACTTTCCCATCCGTGTTTTCCCACAATTTGAAGTCCCTCAAGTTCTATTGCCACTTCTTTCATGGTGGGTCTTTCCTCTCCTTTCACCTTTAAACATCGATTTGCAATATTGGCAACTTCTTTCAGTTGCTCAACATCTGCCTCATGCAATATTTGGTTGTCCACAATGTTAAGTAATTGACCTGTTTTCATTGAAGAAACAAAGTACAGTGCAAGGTTTCTACTAGCCTCTGGCCTATCAAATGAAAGTGCCTTCATTCCTGTTACTAGCTCTGCCAGGACAACCCCAAAACTATACACATCACTCTTCTCTGTCAATTGGCTTGTGTGAAAGTATTCTGGATCAAGATACCCTAATGTTCCCTGCACCAGAGTGGTTAGTTGAGACTGATCAAGGGGAAAAATCCTTGATGCTCCAAAATCAGAAACCTTTGCAAAGAGATTATGATCAAGAAGAATATTTGTAGTTTTCACATCTCTGTGTATGATAGGTGTACAAGTAGCTGAGTGCAAATAAGCCAAGGCCCCAGCTGTTTCTGTTGCTATTCTCAACCTTGTTTTCCATAAAAGTTTTAGAAAACAATTATGATCATGAAGGTGCTCATAAATAGTACCATTGGGAATGAATTCATAAACCAGCATGGGAACTTCTGTCTCTAAACAACAACCCAAGAGTTTTACCACATTTTTATGATTGATTTGAGAAAGCACAATTACCTCGTTAATGAATTGTTCAATCTGATTCGGATCACTAATTTTAGACTTCTTAATTGCCACTGTTCTATTGTCTAGCAATACTCCTTTGTAAACTGTTCCTTGGCCACCTTGGCCAAGAATCTTGCCTTCATCAAAGTTGTCGGTGGCCTCTTCTAGCTCCTCTATAGTGAAGACTTTAGCCGTTTCAATAGACCCTTTATGCTTGATTATGTGTTGTTGTAAGAAAAGACCACCATTTTGGTGAAAAAATTGTTCTTTAAGTTTGATTATCTTTCTTTTCTTTGATGCCCAATACACATAAAAGCTTCCCACAAGCAGTGCTACTAGGCCTACACTCACACCTATGCATAAACAAAGAGAAACGTAATTAGAGTTTTCGTTATGTTGGCTCATCTTCGAAGTTACCAATGACATACTGTAATGATAATTAACTTGAATTTATTATTGTTGATTAGGATGAGAAATCTCTCAACAATATTGCTTGTATAAGTAAAGCAGATGCAATATTATATACGTTGTTACATAATTAAGGATGAAATTTGTTGTGATTTACCGGACAAGAGTGTATATACTCACTCAGAGCAATTATGAGTATGATTTCTTTCCTTGAATTGATGGTAGATTTGTAAGTGCATCTTGTTCCATAATTTTTTCCATCTCCTTCAAATCCTTTTGGGCATAAACAGTTATAACCACCAGGAGAGTTACTGCATTTGGCCCCATCAACGCAATCGTTGGATCCCATGCATTCGTTAACATCTACATTATAGTAACGAGTCAATCATGCATTCATTCATTATTCTTTCACTATCACCTTGCATTTTTTTTTTGTCTAGTTTTAAGAAAAAACTTATTTCTATTTATTGTACATTTAAAAGTTTAAGTGGTTATAAGTAAAACAGAAAAAGTAATGAACAACATATTAATTATATATATATATATATATATATATATATAGAAAATGCATTCAGCTACTAATACCTTCGCAACCATGAAGAAGATAGGGATTTCCCACGAAACCGTTTGAGCAGCTGCAAAGGTAACCAGATGCCTCTACTGAATGAAAACATTCACTGTTCTCTGCCTTACACGCGTAACTGAAAGCCTCTTTCTTACCATCTTCGCACGTTTGGTTCTTAACCACCCAATCCACCGCAACGGGAAACGTGGTTTTGTCGAACTTGACGAGGTCCGTGGAGGAGAAATTGTAGGCCCCATCTTCCACAAGAAACACATACCCGCACGGGTTGAAGTCTATTACATGCGTGTGCTTGAACAAACTCCCTGAACCGTAGGAGAAACTCGACAACCCGCGTGGAATCGAAGTCTCGCAACAACCGGTGCCGGAACAAGTGCCGTTTGTTTCGATGTCTTGGAGCCTGTTGCACAAGGAAATGCATCCCGTGGTGTAGTTCTTTCCCTCCAAATCGCTTCCCACCATTAATCCAAGCGTGTCACACCCAACTACAGTCAACCTGTTTCTGTTGGAAGAGACTTGAAAAGTTGTGAGGTTTAGGTCTTGAAATGATTGTCTCACGAGTTTTCCTCCGTCGGCGTAGCAGTCGCTGGCTACAGGCCATGAAATTTGCATTTGGCCGTTGAGTGAGATGTTAAGCACGGTTATATTGGTTTGTGGCAGGAAGAGGGTGTGTGATGAGGGAGAGGTTTGGTTGCAAGTAAGAACAAATGAGGGGTCTAAGGAACAAGTGTCAGAGATGCCGAAGGGGAAGGGAATGGTAACATCGCCACAGTTTGAAGAACAGTTTGGCTTTGATATGGCTTGAGTTTTAGATTTTGCAATAAGGAGGGCAACAAGAAGCAGCTGCAACAGCAGCTGCTTATAGTGCACAGACATGACTTTGTTTTTCAAGTTCTTCTAATGGACATTATCTCTTCTGCTATTGTAATGATGGTGGTTAGAGAGAATCTAAAGGGATCAAGAGGATTAACTCTGTTACTGCACTGGATATTGGATTCAAACAAGGCTGCATGCTCTACAATTTTAATATATCAATAATGATATTTATGTACTTATAGAATATTTTTATTTTTCATTTTGTGTTCTTTCTCATTTCAACTGTTTTACTTTGTTTTTTTCATCATATTTTTCTTTCTTTGCTGTATTTTCAACCTTCCTAAGACCTTGATTGTGTCGATTTGCTAGCTAGGAGCAGGACAGCCGGCTGTGGAAGGAAAAAACTGATTAATGAAGGTATCTGTTAAAAAATAATTAATAAAATTATCCATTAATTTGTATATACTTTTAGTTCTTAATTTACTATATTTTTTACCTTTCACACATTTGTTCTGTATGATTAAATTTATCGAGTAAATTCTATTAATAACTATAAAAATTCTTGCAAAAGTGAGTTCATTTGTAAGCAACATTGACAGATTTTAAATCAACAATTTTTTAAACCGAGTTCATGAATTAATTTAATTCTATGAAGTTACTGATAATGATATATCCATTCGTTCATTTGTGTAAATACAAAAAGGGAAAGCATTTTCATTAGTAATAATCTGAACAATGGTGACAGAACATTCAATTGTACATCATAGCATTTATCGAACCACTTGCTAACGTTTCTGAAAATAATACTCATCAACAATACCTTATTACTTTTGATGCAGAACTGAGGGACGATGAAATTAAAAAGCTTTATCGTGGCCATCATAATATGTATATATCGAATCTTCGAATTGGTCCATAGACAAAGCACCTCCAAGTAAGCACACTTCATCTACCATCCCATAACGGTGACATCACATCGTTGCAAATGGTATCATCCTCAGGTCCAGCACGTATAGCATAAGTATAATGACAATTATCAGTGTCTCTTTCTGCTGAACCTGATCTTTCACCGATAACGTATTCTGCTGCATTCGATGTGGCATTAATCAGTGAAGTTGTGACTGTCATGGTTTTGAGACTTTCCAATTCCATAGCAACTTCCTTCATGGTAGGTCTTTCCTCACCTCTAAGCCTCAAGCACCATTGAGCAATGTTAGAAACTTCCTTCACCTGCTCACTATTTCCCTCATTGACAAAATCCTCAACAATTTGGAACAAGTAATCATCCTTCACAGCCGAAAGAAAATACAACGCCAAATTCCTCTCCTCCTCTGGCATGTCAAACGAAAGTGCTCTTCTTCCAGTTAGCAACTCAGCAAGTACAACACCAAAACTATACACATCACTTTTCTCAGTTAGTTGACTGGTCTGAAAGTATTCAGGGTCAAGGTACCCAAGAGTTCCCTGAACCAATGTTGTCAACTGACACTTGTCACGTGGAACCAATCTAGAGGTTCCAAAGTCAGAAACCTTAGCCGTGTATTTGTCATCTAAGAGTATGTTAGTTGACTTGAAGTCCCTATGGATGATCGGTATGGAAGCTGAAGAATGCAAGTAAGCAAGCACACCAGCTGTTTCTGCTGCTATTCTTAGACGTGTTTCCCAGGGAAGTGTGGTGTTTTCATTGTGAATGTGATCAAAGAGTGTTCCGTTGTTCACAAATTCATAAACTAGCAGTGGCATTTCTGTCTCCAGACAGCAACCTAGGAGTTTGACCACATTTCTGTGGTTAATTTGGGAAAGTACAACCACTTCATTGACAAATTGTTCAATTTGGCTGTGATCTACTAGTTTTGATTTCTTTATGGCAACAACTTGGTAATTTGGAAGAATTCCCTTATAAACTGTGCCGTAGCCTCCTCTGCCAATGATTCTGCTCTCGTGAAAGTTTTCAGTGGCTTTCTTCAGCTCTCTTGCAGTAAATATTTTAGCTCTCTCAGATGATCCCTCCATCTTTGAAATTTGCTGCTCTAACATTAAGCCACCATTTCTCTTAAAATATCGTGCTGAGAGACTCGCCCGTTTTCTTTTACGAAATATATGGTATAGCCAACCACTACCAGTTAACAACAGCACAAGGCCTATGCCAGTTCCTACATTGAAAAAGTTGCTTATTGGATCAGTCTTTAATTTTGTTATGGTTTCGGAATCATGTCATTCACGTACATCCTCGAATTACTTTAATTTAAAGGTCACTTTCCCTATAACTTTATTTTCGGTAGCGGATACTATTCATGACACTCCATACCATCTACTTGCAAACAAATGTCACTTCTATTTCTAAGATTTGGAGAGCTGTGAATTAAGATTTCCCCTATGGAATATGTACTGACATAAAGTTGCAAAACGTCAAAACTTTTAGCGTAAAAGCAATCAAAAAGACAAATCAGTAGACTACAAGTGAAAGAAAATAAAATCAAACAGATCAAATATCTCAAAAATAATGGAGCAAAATGCACGTTTTTACATATGCCTTGCTTTACTTTTGTATTTGTCTTGTTATCTTCTTTTCACTGATTACTACTATGTAAACCAAACAAATAACACGTACCTATCACAATCTCGTTAACCACATGTTGTAGATTCGAGACACAGCCACTTCCTCCTTTTCTGCCATCTCCCTGGTGCTTCCTGGTCTTGGGACAAGAACAATTATAGCTCCCGGGTAGGTTAATGCAAATGTCTGAACAATCATTTAGACTCGGATTGGCACACTCATCAATATCTAGTGAAGAAATAGGCAAAAGAAGTTAATATTTCTTTCATTTATCAAGAAAACAAATTACATTTAGACTAATCACATGGAGGGAACATAATCCATACCTTGGCATCCACCCTGAAGGTATGCATTTCCCACATAACCTTCTAAGCATCCGCAGAGATACCCGGGTCCATTTTAAGAATCAATACATACGCTATTTTCTTGGCAAACATAACTAGTCAAATTATTCTTAGCTTCTTCACATGTTAGATTCCCAACAGCCCAGTCAAGCACTGTGGAAACTGTTCTTCTCTTCTGCAGTTTGATGAAGTCATCCGTGGAAAACTCGAAAGAGTCTTCTTCCACCAAAAGAGAGTAGCTACAAGGAATATTCATATCCCTATGAAGCATATTTGATCTCAGGACACGAGCTTCATATGCCAAAATGTTTTTTGGGATGGAGGTTTGGCAGAAACCAATGCCAAACCGGGATCCATTGGTTGAACTTTCTACACTACTACAAAGAGAGAAACACCCTCCAGCAGAGTAGTTTTTCCCAATTGTTGCATTGATGGTTGAAAGGGTGTCGCATCCAATTCCTACGAACTTGTTTTGAGTGTAGGAGAAGGGGAATGCTTTCAAAGTCATAGATGAATTCCCTGAATCCACTAGCACACCCTTTTCATCATAGCAGACATACGCTACTGGGGATTTTACCCGTAAATGGCCATTCAATGACAACTCTAATACCTCAATATTTTTTGTCACATTCCACAGAAATAGTTTGGGAGGCCTGTGACTTGTGTTACAAGCAACATAAAAGTTGCTGTTCATGTAACAGTCCTCAGTTGTACCAAATGGATACGGAATGCTAACGCTTCCACATTTTTTTTGGCAGCTCGGACGAATTGTTTGTGACGCGGCTGAGATCATTACTAAGCAAGCAACTAGCACAACTTTTGTACTGTCTCGTGCTGAAGCCATTGCTGTATGCAATTCATCATCAAAAACTGAGATTAAGCAACAGCTAACTCGGCCAAAAGATTTGAATTGCTCAAACCTTAGGCCGTAGAAGTCAAGCTTCCATTGTTACTTCGTTTTTAACTATAGTTGGATTTGTCTTTTGGTTTAGGAGAATAAATATGTCTTTGATACCTTCTTAACAAGGATTCTATTGGACCTACAATTCTATTTTTCTTTTAGAGAACTAGAAGAATCATTGTCGTGGATAGTTAACATTACAGATAAGAACTGGATTAGTGATTGCGCAAAGTTTTTATATTGATAAACGACTAGAGTGGGGGACCGGGGCTGAAACTTTTCTCTAGTGTATTTTGGAGTCAGCAAAGGTCATCTGAGAAGTTTAATATCCTTTGGTAATATGGTAAAGGCAACGTTGAATTCTTGTATTGTTCCGTAGTCCTATAAAATTTAAGAGGCGGTTGCTATTTCAAACATTGGCCTTTCGGGGGAAAAAGAAAAATGAATTCTAGGATTCCAAGTTTTCAAGGTAATTCACCAGTTCAGTTGCTTTCCTGTCTAAGGTGAGTCTGTCTAAGGTGAGTTCGTCTTACGGTCCAATACAAAAGAGAAAAATGTTTGGGCTCGACATAGAAAAAGATATGTGTTGGTATATGATTAATACACAGGTAAATAATAGTAGCTCAAAAGGAGACAGGACACATAGTCATGCTGTAAAATTGATTCTTCGTATTTACATTACTTTCTCTCTTAGCGCTCAAGTAGACCTAATTTTCTATAAAGTTCCTTTAACAACATGCTTGATTGTGAGTATGCCAACCATGTTGAGGAACTTCATTGTATTCTAAAAGGAATGTTCCAAGACACCGTCATATATAGCATTAAAATGTTTTCGAGACGTGGATACAAATTGACTCTAAAAATTGGTGTTACACACGTTTTACAAGATTGTGTATTTTAATTGTTATTGAATTCTTAATTATTTTCTCTGATATTTTTTTATTATTGTGGAGTTATTACATAAATTTGAAGCAACAAACCATTTAGGTTCACACTCTAACAGTAACACGTGTGACTCTAAAGAGATGGCTTCTAATATGATCAAACTTAAAAGGTTTGATGATAGACATATTGGTTGTTGGCAAAACAATATGCGTTTACATCTTACAATTTTCACTATTATAGAAAGATGAAAGCATGATGTCTTATAATACTTGTTATTTAAGGATTGGTCTTAGAAGTGAAGTAGTACTAAACTAAATATTCACCATCGGTTATATAAGATCTGATGTTAAATAGTACTTTTAATATCGAGTGCTTGCATACGCGATATTAACCTTTTATTTTTATGAGTCTTCAAC